AGAGAAAGAAAGAAAGAAAGAAAGAAAGAAAGAAAGAAAGAAAGAAAGAAAGAAAGAAAGAAAGAAAGAAAGAAAGAAAGAAGAGAAAAAGAGAGAAAGAAAAAGGAACCAAGAAGCTTAGGACTCTGGCCATCTCAGTTTGGAAAGAGTGAAAGTAAGGCCACCAGAGTGCCAGGGTCACTGTGTGCAGCAGAGCTGTGGCACAGCAGCCTGCCTGGCCTGGAGCTTAGCAAAAGCTCTGAAAGCACTGGGAAGGGAACCCGGTGCCCAGAGCTTGGCAACCCCTGGCTCTTGGCCAACTGTAGCCTAGGTATTGAGTCAAGCCATCTTTGCCTCTTCCTTCTTTCCTTGATTATCCTTCTCACATGCCTCCAACAACTTAGTAACAAAAAGGAACGACAGGTTACAGACCCAGAAAGGAGTCATGCAGTGCTGTGGGCTGCAAAGGTTCCCAATGTTGCCCAAAGACACCCCACCCAGTCCTGTTGGCTGACTGGCACGCCTCTGATAAAACTATTAAGCTTCCTTGATTATAGCACTAGCATAAGATGATAGTCCTAAATCCAAATTGCTTTGGGGAAAAAAAAAAAAAAAAAGGCTTTTTTGTAAGTTTGTGGCAAACCAACTCAGGGTACAACGAACCAAAAGTGACAGAATGCTGTCTTTGTATGCTTGTTACATGCCTCAGTGGCAGTGCTCCTGTGTGTGGCGTAAATGTTCATGGATTTTGTTGCAAAGCGCTTCCCCAGCTCCTTAGGTGGGCAGCACTCAATTAATTGATAAAGGTGCATGCATGCAATTAGCCTCAAAAACTGGGAGAATTCGGAATTTCAAATACACCACGACCTGGGGATTTCAGAGAAGAAATTGTGAACCTGAAAAGTTTTCCTTAAGTTTTCGGGGTGTTTGACCCTTACAAAACGAAAGAGTCATTGAGTCCTTTCTTACAAAGGAAACAGTGGGGGGAGGGGAAGCAAAGCAAACCAACGACAGTGGTGACTGTTAGGCTAATGAGTTGGAGCAGAAGCTTTTTGTGATCTGAAGCTTAAGGTAGATCTTTTGGAAGGCAGAAATCTGGATCTGTAGCTTTCCTGTAATTTTTTTTTTTTAAAAAAAAAAGGAAAAATAAAACAAAACGATTTCTCAGTGCCTCTGCGTCCTCGTTCCTCCTCTGCAGCGGAGCGGGCTGCAGACTATGGGAGCGACTCACAGAACCACAGCGCCACCTTTCTTCACGATGTGGAATTGAGTCTTCACGCTATGCCAGGCCTGTTGACTAGCGGCCGTCTTAAACCTTTCGTGGGCCGGCATCAGCGAGGAAACAGTTCCTTGACACTCAGGTCATAAAAGAAGAGCTGCAGAGGGCAAGAAATGTGTTTTCTTTTTCTTTGGTCCCTAAGCAGTCAAACTGATAACGTCATCAGATGTCAGGGATTGTGAGCCATGAACCCCGTGTTTAATTAGTTTGCACCAAGCGAGTCATTCTCAAGTGACATCTTAATTTACAGCCTACTACACTGCAGCACTTTTTAGGCTTTTTACTGTGTGATAAGGTGTTCTAGCTGCTGAGTCTTTAAAAATATAGACACACTCTTAGTTGAGATGTTTTTCTTTTCAATTTTCAGTTGCAAATCAAACATGCAGTTACAGAAGCAGAGATTCAAAAATTGAAGACCAAGGTAAGCACCGACATGGTGTTTGAACTGTACTCTTTAAACTTCAGATACTGTGAGTAATTTCAAGCCCAGGACTAACAGATGTGCTCCTGTGCACGTGAAAACACACCTGTGAGAAACTTCTTTCCACTTGCAAGACAGGCCGGCCCTGAGGAGGGCAGGCTTGTATACCCCAGTGGAAGCAATTTGATATCCTAAATAGATTAATACATATACATTTGCACAAATGTAGCCAATTCTCTCTGAGATTTCTTTTTAAAAATAATATTTTTAATGGCTCAAGCATCTGACTTTTAATCACCAATTCCTTAAGTATAAGCTGCTATATCATATCTCCTTTATATCACTTTATAATACACAGATTTAATCATTTGTTTTTTGCTTATTTACCAGAAGCAATGTATTGATTTAATATAACAAATTACTAATTACTGATAAAAAATTTCTAATTTCTAAGAATTATTATAAGCTTAACACATTGTATAATTGATACAGATGTCAGGAGCTACTGGAAATTTTTAGACACATTTAGTTCACATTATTTAAATTTGTCTAGGAGAAAAAAATATTAATAAAAAGATAACACTTTTTTAATCTCTTTATACAAAATAATATAGCATCAAAAGGTCATTTTGAATTAGTAAACTGTAATGGTCTTGCATGAGAGACAGTGTAGCTATTGGGTTTAGTTTTATAAAATGAATTATTTTCAGAGATTTCAAAATACCTTTTAAGTTACTTTGAAACTATTCTCTATTGCTTCCGTGGCCTTTTTAAAATTAAGATTTAATTATTCCCCACCAGTAGTGCTCTGTTTTCTTATTCACAGTGAACATTTATTTGGGCTCTCCTGAATGTTTTAAATGGAGATGAATTAACCAGGCTATTTTGGTTAAATGTATTCTTAAGTAATAAGCTCTGGAACTCTTTAGTCAAAACATGTCCATGCATCATTCATGATGTGAGTCTAGCACCAGGAATAGTAAGTTTTAAGTTAGTGGTGGCTGATAAATAAACAACCTGATGCAAAATGTTGCTTAAGTAAAGATGCAGTTTTTAAAAAAAAAAAGCCATAGTCCTTTTTAATATTAGAATTGTTTCTTAACATTGAAAAGCAGAAGAATTTTTAAATTGTTGGTTGCAATTAATGACAGATATTCGCCTATGGTTATAAATACTCTAGCAGAATTTGGGCGCTAGGCTACAAAGAATGAGTTTAGAAAAGACGATGAATTAGTATTTTGTGTTGTTATTACTTTGGTATATGATATCCACACATTAACATACTTTACTGTGATTATTATCAACATTGATAATAAGAGTTCCTCATTTTGAGGTGTTTGGGGCTAATTATTTACTTTGTAATCTCTTGTACAAATGTATTTAGTAAAAATTTTACGCAAAACTATACCTGTGATATTTAAATATATTTGTAAATGTATATTTTATCTGTTCAGTACGATCTTGGAATGTCTTTATTTTCAACACTGATAATTTGTAATGATTTTGAATCTTTTTTAATTTTAAAGAAGGCAGAGAAAGTAGATAAAGCACCAGTTTGAAAGCCAGATGATTGTTGTGAATAAGTGACTTTGAAGTCCTCATCTGAAAGAGCAGTCTTAATTTCTGTATAAACAATGTTGGACTAGTATACACCATTTCCTACGCATGATTTTAGCCAAAAGACCTAGAAAGCTACATTGTATATTCCTAAGAATGCTGGAAATGAAAATCACACTAAATTGTCTTTCTAATCCAATAGTGGGACTTAAATCAGGCAACCATTTTTTTTTAAACTTACCTTTGCCTTTTGAACTCTTTGTGAATTAAGGTTTATAAAGATCTATAAATTTATAGTACTGCCTGTAATGTACTGAGCTATAAAAACAAACTGTGTTCTTGTTGATTGACATAAAGAACCTAATAGCATCATCAAGAGGGTTAAAAGAAAGTAATAGTAGCTAACACTTAACAAATGATTATATGCCCAAGAACCTCTTCCAAGAATGTTGAGGTCTCAGAGCACACACAGCACATTTGTAGATGATAACACTATAACCCTCAGAAAATTAGAATCACTTGTCCAAGTGTTAATCTATGCTGAATGCTCCTAGATTCCTTCTTAGCCATTGGGGTACTGTGCTCATATCTTCTTGGCTCTCCTTCTCTACTCCCATTCCCTTTTTAGTTAATTTTTAACTTATTGTCTTAAATGCTCTCAAAGGAAATGTGTTGACATTTAGATAATCAATGATACTCAAAGCATCTTTTCTTGCTTACAGAATTTCAAAGTTCATGGGAGTTGGAATCAGATTTCAGTTTTATCATTTATGAGAAGGATAACCTTGAGCAAATCATTTCCCTTTTCAAGGCTACCATTTTATCCTTTATGGATATGAGAATAATTACTATTTTTCTCATTTCAAGGTGTCTTGATGACTGAGCATATGTAACAATGGCGTTTAAGCTAAAATGTGTTGAGAAGTGGGGGAGATATTGCTCCGGACCTACTCAAAGCATTCTTGCTGTGACATTTGTTTTCTCCAGCTGCAAGCAGCAGAAAACGAGAAAGTAAGGTGGGAACTAGAAAAAAACCAACTTCAACAGAACATAGAAGAGAATAAAGAAAGAATGTTGAAGTTGGAGAGCTACTGGATTGAGGCGCAGACATTATGTCACACCGTGAATGAGCATCTCAAAGAGACTCAAAGCCAGTATCAGGCCTTGGAAAAGAAATACAACAAAGCAAAGAAGTTGATCAAGGATTTTCAGCAAAAGTAAGCTGTTTCTAATGGCTCATAGATGAGTTATGTGTGCCTAAAGGAGGGTTATACCCAATGATGACATACTATTTAAAGCTGGGTTCTCCCCTCCCCCGCCACCTTCTGATTATACTCATTGCAAATTTTAGAAATTACTTTTCTTATGGGAGAATATTTATGATCATTAGTTTCTGATGGTAACTATTCAAGCACTTATCTATCATTCTTGTTGGAAGCATCTCTGTGATTTAGAAGCCAGAAGCACAGCAGAAGCTGTACGGGGTGCCTGGCTGGCTGTTGGATATGCGGTATACAGAAGGACTTCTGTCTGTGTTCCTAAATTCAGTGACCACAGGCTTTTCCCACTACAGTGTAAACATTGACTTGTAAGACCTCCCACCCTGCCTCTGCATTTTGCATCTGTTGAAAGACTTACAAGGGCCCCAGTTCACCACAGTGAGACAGACCCTCACCACAGCAGCTCTTTTCTGAGCTGCAGTTGTTTTTCTTCCCCCTCTTCTGTCTTGATGTAATGTCAGGGAGCATGCCCAGGGGAGTTTGGCTAAGTCTTTTCATGAGTTAGTTCTAACTAACTAAAGCAAAAATACAGTGCCCAGTACCTTTTGTGGTCTTCTGTGACAAGCTAAGTATGTGTGGCACATTCACCCTTTCTCTATTCTTTCATAACAATAGCATTTTCATTGTTAAAATAGATTGCTGTGGGGTGGAGAGATGGCTCAGCAGTTAAGAGCACTGGAAGCTCTTGCAGAGGTCCTGGGTTCGATTCTCAGCACCCACATGGCAGCTAACAGCCATCCATAACTCCAGTTCCAGGGAATCTGACGCCCTGTCCTGAACTCCATGGGCATTGCACGACCCTGGTACATTTGCACACATACAGGCTATATTATACTCATACACATAAAATAAAAATAATAAATAAAATATTTTAAAAACATTAAAAAACAGAGAGCTGGGGCTGGAGAGCTGGCTTAGCAGTTAAGAACACTGACTGTTCTTGCAGAAGATCCGGGTTCCATTCCCAGCACCCACATGGCAGCTAACAACTGTCTGTAACTCAAGTTCCAGGGGATTGACAGCCTCTTCTGTCCTCTGCAGGCATTGCATGACATGAGCGCACTTACCTACATGCAGGCATAACACTCATACACATAACAATAATAAAATTTTTTATAAAAAAGAATAAAAAACAGACAGCTATAAAAGATGTTTAAAAGAGGATAATTGCACTTTGTTACTGTGAATTCAGCACATTATTATTGTAACATTTTCCAAAAATATTGTACATATTTTATTATATAATTTTATTGTAAAATAAATATTATACATATTTATTATATAATACATTTTGCCAAATTTGCATATTCTAGCAGAGGTCCTCAAAATGGAAGTGTATCACCTCAGGATGGTATCCTTAGGGTGTGAGTGAGTGCTCCCCTCAGTGCCTTTCTCAGATATCATCCTTAGGGTGTGAGTGGGTGCTCCCCTCTATGTTCTCAGATATCACCCTTAGGGTGTGAGTGCTACCCTCACTGATATCCTCAGATACCACCCTCATGGTGGGAGTGAGTGCTCTCCTCAGTGCTTTCCTCAGATATCACACGTAGGGTCTGAGTGAGTGCTGCCCACAGTGCTCTCTTCGGATATTACCCTTAGGATGTGAGTGAGTGCTGTCCTCAGTGCCCTCCTCAGATATTAATGATAGGGTGTGAGCACTCCCCACAATGCTCTCCTCAGATATCTATCACTCTTAGAGTTTGAGTGAGTGCTCCCCTCAGTGCCATCCTCAGATATCACTCTTAGAGTATGAGTGCTCCCCTCAGTACTCTCTTCAGATATTTATCACCATAAGGGTGTGAGTGCTCCCCTCAGTGCCCTCCTCAGATATCACTCTTAAGGTGTGAGGGAGTGCTCCCCTCAGTGCCTGCATTCCTTTCTTACTGTACTTCTTTGCAATGCTTACCATTTATTTCCATCAGTTTACTTATGTACTGGAAATAGGGAATCATTTCTACTGACAGAAAATTGTCATTAATGAGTTCCCCAGGGATCATTAGTGAGCAACTCCTCACTATAGCATTAGATCACTGGCTACAAATGAAAATCAATATGAGCAGAATCAAAATACTTTGTTTTCTTGTGATTAAAACACTGAAGATAGCCTTGTGTGGTGGCACATACCTTTGATCCCAGCACTTGGGAGACAGAGGCAAGCTGATCTCTATGGGATCCAGGCCAACCTGGTCTACACAGCTTGTTCCAGACCAGCTTGGGCTATAGGGAGACCCTGTCTCAACCCTCATTCAAAAAACAAAAAAAAGTCTGTTCTTTCATTGCTATAAATTTTTCTCACTAACAATATTTGAGTTTTATCTGTTTAAATCGCTCGTGGGGTATTTATCCCACCATGTACTTTATTGCTTCTGATAAGAATTTTCACATTTCCTCATTTATTGAGCGTTAGATACAACTGAATCTGTTATTTTCTTCTTAAGAGAGCTTGATTTCATCAAAAGACAGGAAGTAGAAAGGAAGAAGATAGAAGAATTGGAAAAAGCTCACCTGGTAGAGGTCCAAGGCCTCCAAGTACGGGTGAGTTGTGTTCTCAAAGCCACTGAACAGTGAGGCTGTTCTCCCTGCTGTGTGCTGGGTTCAAGTGCATGAATGGATTTTGTTTTCTAGATTAGAGATTTGGAAGCTGAAGTGTTCAGACTCCTGAAGCAAAATGGAACCCAAGTTAACAACAACAATAACATCTTTGAGAGAAGAACATCTCTTGGTGACATCTCTAAGGGAGACACTATGGAGAACGTGGAAGTCAAACAAACATCCTGTCAGGATAGCCTGAGTCAAGGTTGGTTTAACCTAACATCAAAAATCACTTTTTCTGATAGTATCATTGGGACTTACCTTCTTATTTTTCTGACTTGTAGATTCAAAGTTAAAAATGTCTTCTTGCTGTAGGAAAGAAACAAAGGCTTATCAAACCTGTCGTTTTAGCCCACGCCAGACATACATGCTTCAGTGTAAACAACAAAGTATCACTGAAGGCAAGCCAAGTGTTATATTAAAGCATCATAAAATAAATAGACTTAATAAGCTGTATCATAGTCCAGTCCTTCTAGGATGAGCTGTGCTGCTTAAGTATTAGTGAGCAAGGCTTAGAGCTCCCCAGTTGTTGCAGTAAAGACTTGTCCATGATATCAGAAGGCTGGCTGCCTGCTTCTGATACTCAGGACTTAAGCAGTTAAGAAGTTCCCAGCAATTGTAAGCTCTATCTAGAGTCCTGCTTGTACTTCCCAGGTCCGTCTTGCCAACGACCAAATAAAAACAAAATATAGCGTTAGATACAAACACCGCAAATACATCTCTTACTTTTTCATGCACTTACATCCATGTACACAGATTTTTGTGTATTTATGTGTATACAAATGCTGTTTCATTATGTATAGTACCTTCATATATTAGAAAACACATAAAAATTTATAAATGTAAAGACAAAAAGCTTTTTGTTTCTTTTTTTTTTTTTTTTTTTTTTTTTTTTTTTTTTTTGAAAAAGGGCTCCTTTTTGAACCTCTCGGCGCCGGTTTTCTTTGGGACACCAGCGCACCCTGCACTCACACAGACCACGCCCTCCCTTTTTAAAAGTCTATTCTATTTTTTTTAAATATCTGAGAATTTTTTTTTTTCGTCTTTTTGAGACAGGGTCTCTCTGTAGCACTAGCTGGCCTGGATTCGCTATGGAGACCAGGCTGACCTCGAACTTACAGAGATCCGCCTGCCTCTGACTCCTGAGTGCTGGGATTAAAGGCGTCCACCACCACGCACGGCTTGTTTCTTTTTTTAAAATACAAAATATAGCAGTTCTTAGAAAGGAAAACTAAAAATAATAAAATAAAAATAAATAGCATGCAGGAACATTCCCAGGATGAACCAACTCACATACAGCCATCTGACATGTAGAAAATCATATTGCTTATGATATATTTCATTTTGTATGATTTTTCTCATGTTTTAAAATGTTTCCAGAATGGGAGATGGTTCGGTTGGTAAAGGTTTCACTGCACAAGAATGAAAACCTGAATTTAGATCCATGTAAAAAGCCAGATGCTGTAGAGCACATCTGTAATTCTACTGGTGGTGGGGAGAAGGGCAGGGACAGGAGGATCTCTGGGGCTTTCTGTCCAGCCAGCATAGCTGAATCAGTGAGCTCTGGGTTTGATGAGAGACCTTGTCAAAAAGCAAAAATGTTTCCTGAGGAATGATACCTGAGGTCAGCCCCTGACTTCCACACACATGCACACATACATGCACAGGCTCCTGCTTGCACATGTGCACACACACAAGCATGCACATACATATACCACATACATGTACACACAAATGTTTCCAGTGATTTTTTTTGGATAAGCAAGTGTAGAATTACAATTAACTTTAGAACTTATTGTTAACCATTAAAGATGAAAAATATTGGAAATGTTCACTTAAAATGAAACATATTTAGAAATCTAAATCCATTCACTAGGTTTATGTCTTTCTGGTGCATTTTCCCTAAATAAGGGATATTTTATAAATAATGCTTCAAGGCAGCTTGGGGGGGGGGGGCTCGTGCACACCTCTAACTGAGGAGCTGTGACTTCAGGACACTCACCCAGCTCTCTGGATTGGTCTTACTATGTGAAATATAAAAGCAGTGGTGGCGCTTTCTTCCCCAGCCCTACCAAGTGGTTTGGCACCATGTGACTACGAGGCAAAAGGAAAGTAATGTTATTAGAACTTAGTGAAATTATGTTTTTTAGACCTGAAATGCCCTATGATTGATGTCTAAAGAAAAGTATCAGAAATCAAACCAATGTAGCTTTTTAAAAAACCTTGGGTGTTTTAACTTTAATTGTAGTCTATTTCAAATACAGGTTCTTACTGTGGTATACACAGGGTATGATCAGTAACCAGTAACTTTTCCTTGCTATTCATCTCTTTCAATTTAGAAAACTGTATCTTGTCAAACATATAATTAATGGTATTTATTAAATTATATGATTACAGAAGATCAACAAACTATACTATTAACATGCTGATTTGGATCAAAACCTTGCATTTCTTCTGAACCCTTTTCCTATTATACACCCTCCATTTTTGCCGCATAATTATCAGTTTCCCTAGCAACACTGTTGGTTCACAGTGAGATGTGGAGACTACTAATTCTTCCTGAAAGCAATCCCACTTGCAACAGAGTAGACTCCATCCCCACAGACATCAGCAGCATACTTATCAAGCCATGTTCTTCCCGTTTTGCGGCTGAGGACAGTCAGTAACAAATCTTGAATTTCAATCGCTTGATCCCAGAAACTAAAATGACTTGGCCAGTAGCTAGATAGAATGCTCTGGAAAACACTTTTCTAAATTGATCCTTTGCCTCTGTTGCTAGGGAACAGTGAAGACCTAGAAATTTAGAAAGGAGAGTGAGGCTGCAGGCCCAACACAGGCCATTCAGCATTTTAAGGGTCCTTGCTACTTGCAGTGATGCAGAGGTACAGGACTTGGAGTCAGCCACCATGTTGTCTGTTCATTGGGTTCAGGCCTGTCCTGTCACCTCCCAGGACTGTCCAGCATCTACTTTCCCAGCTCTGGAGGGTTAGAAGAAGGGTTTAGCATGTTTGGGACTTGAGACAGATCGTGAAGGTCAATGATAAACTGTATCAAAATGAGATACTAAAAAAAAGAAAGAAGGTGAGGAGAAGGCCAAAAGGAAAGAGGAGGAAGAAAAAGCCCTAAGCATCCATCCCTTCACGCAGATTCATGACCTACAACACACCTCCCTCAGGAGCACTGGTTACTGGGATTCTCATTATTAAAATTAGAGGCATTTTTGAGGAATGAAACCATTTTTCAAACCTTTCAAAAATTTACCATAGTTAAATTATCTTTTAACTCTTTAATGCCATTTGTATGTTTCCTTGACAAAACCAAACCAACACAGGTATTTCATTAAAATTTTGGTAAAGGTTCTAAACTTATGATTTAATATATTCTAATACTTTATCATAATTACATAAAACAAATGTAGCAATTTTTTCAAGAGTTATGGCAGAGGGACTGGAGAGATGGCTCAGCAGTTAGAGCACTGGCTGCCCTTACAGAGGACTTGGGTTTGATTCCCAGCACCCACATCATGGTGGCTAACAACTATCTGTAACTCCAGTTCTAGGGGATCCAACACTCTCTCTGGCCTCCATGGGCATTGCACACCACTGTATGTACATATGTACAGGCAATACATTCATACACATAAAATAAAAATAATTTTTTTTAAAAAGAGTTATAGCGGAAATCCACCTAGATCAAGACCAGCCTGCTCTGCATAGCGAGTTCTGGGCCAGCTGCAGCTACAATAAAAAAAAAAGCTATAGCAGATCTCAAATCCTCTCTATTTACACCAGTATGGTTGTCAAATATAGAAATGATGATCTTTTTCCCTTCTGTCATTGTTCAGTACCTTAGTGTCACTGGTTTTTTACCTTGTCCTAGGCCCTGGAATGGCTGCAACATCTGTGGCTATGTTGCCTCATCATTAGAATTAGAGGTTAAACCTATTTTGTTTAGATTTCCTTAAAATAAAACTCTGACATACAGCATGTTCTTCCTGAGCTTCTAGATATTTCATGATTCTTATGATGATATTGTTTCTGCTTCAAATATTTTAGAGTCTATGTTGTTAGAAAAGTGTTATACATAATCTATAGACATATTGAGAAAATGAGAACTGATAGAAGGATTACAAATGAGAACTGATAGTCAGGGTTACAAAACTCTGACTATTATCTTCCACAAGTATAGACATGGAGGGTTTTATAAAGTTTGGTTGGTAAAGTACTTACCACCCAAGAATGAGAACATGAGTTTGGATCCCTAGGATCCATGTAAAAAGCTGGGGGTCTTGACATACATCTGTAACCCCAGTGTTGGTGGAGTTCATTAGCCAACCAGCCTGACCAAATTACCAAATCAATGAGTTCCACATTGAGGGAGAGACTCTATCTCAAAAAGTAAAGTAGAAAACAATTGAGGCAGACACTTGGCATCGACCTGTGACCTTCACATACACACACACACACACACACACACACACACACACACAAACACAAACATGTGCATACACCACACACACATACACATAAACTACTTCATACTTGTTACTTTTACTTACTATGTTTAAGTATCAGCTCTTCCATATATTGAGTATAAAGAAGTTTTTAAACTGTCCTTACTATGTTTAAGTATCAGCTCTTCCATATATTGAGTATAAAGAAGTTTTTAAACTGTCCTTGTCTTATAAAATGGAATAACTATAAAAATATACAATTTGTAGTGCTGATATGAGAACCAGATGAAACCATCGTAGTTAAGTACTCTGTGTGGTACCTAAACACAGAGCTTAATAGTGCTAACCACCATCCTGATTGCACTGACAGCAAACACTGACTGCATTGAGTGTTTCACCTCTCCTGTACTGCACCCTTATGCAGCTCCAGAAGCTGAAAGGCATCTTTAACTGCTTTATTTGCTTAAATTTTTTATAAATTCCATAAAAGAATGAAATGTAATAGAGGCCTAATCAAAATAAGGTGAGCACAGTATATTCTATCAATAATTGACCAATTTTAATGATGGTAATGTTAGACGGGAAAGATTGTAAACCAATGCCCAAATAATTGTATCCTCTTCCTAATATCAAAAACAGGACAAGGAAAGTCCTGATTTCTAAAGGAACCTGAGAGCTGATAAACACTACTTGCCTGGGTTAGAACTGCCATGGGCTCACATAAGCGTCTGAGGCAACTATGCCACAAAATT